CCTACAGAACATTTGATTAGGGCCTCCAAAACTCTAAACATGTCTTTGTTTATTCCGGTGATGGCAAAGATGAATTTTCAGCAGCTATTACTCTAGTCTTCAGAAATCATTCTTGAAATCATGATTAGGTGATTAAAAAACATTTAATTAGTGTCAATGTTGAAAATGGTTTTGCTGCTTAATATTTTTGCAGAAATCATAATACAGGATTCTTTGAGGAATAGAAAGTTTAAAAGAACAGCATTTATTTCACATTAATATTTTTTACAACAATGTAAAAGTCACTTTTGATCAATTTAATGCATCCTTGCTCATTTTTTTTCAATTGATTGTGTGTTGGCATAATGTTACAGTATGTTATGCTTCTTTCCCCCCCAAAAAAACATTCATTTGAAAAATATAAGTAAAAATATTTGATTCTTGAATATCAGTATTGTCATGTAAAATACCACAATGTTTAAAAATATTGTATTTATTCCTCTATGGAGCAAGTCAAACATTTTCATTATAATTTACACACTGTGTTTGCAGATTAGATGAAATGCCACTTATAGCATTTTTAAATAATTAAATCACACTCAGAGAAATGTTTTATGTACCTGTATCAATTTCCTAATCATCAGGAACACCTGCCATATGGACTGAGACACTATCTAATCAAGGGCACTTCCACCAGCATTTGCTGTTATTTCTTAGGTGAAAAAAAGCCCTTAGGAACACAGTGTGCTTATTCTCTTTCTGGAGTTCCTCAATCAGATTGCACAGCTCACATGAAACAGAAACATCAGTCTCTTTTTTGTTTTTAGTTTTAAGAAGAAAACCCTCTTGTTGACCTCACCCAGCAAACAGTTAAGGATCTGATCAAATGACCACTTTAAACAAGCCATTAATTCATCCAGACAGCCCTGATTTGTTATTACTTCTGAGGTCTCTAAATAGCTCTGTATATACAAACAGAGCTTAGTAGCTCATTTTTGACCTACAGTTTAACTGTTAAGTCCCCCAAATTCTTGTGACTCTAATGAAAGTGGTCACTAAATAATGAATACAATGATACAACTGACTGTAACCCCTCTTAGATATTTATAGCACAGACCTAACGAGGTGAGAGAAACACTGTAGTTAAAACAACAGCAAAACATGAACAGTCCAACACATTTTAATGGCGGATGTCTATGTCATTATAACATTATAAATTTTTCTTCCTTTCCTCCAGCTAATTTAATATGCACGTCTTGTGTGTCTGTTGAATTTTTGGTGTCAAAAAGGAGAAAACAAAACAATTTGTAACATAATTCAACATAAGCATGCTTTTGAGTTTTTCAGCTTTTTATAATGAGCCCATTTTTGAAAGTCACCTGCATTTTGTAAACACACTCATGGTTGCATTGTAAAGTAGCGCTAACTACGCTAAGTAGCTAGAGTGTGTTTTGTTTTCTGAATGATCTCATGGGGTTGTAAATCCACACTTGCCATCTGGAGTCATGAAACAAAATGAACTCCATCATCATCATAAATCCTCTACGTCAATATGCAACAGCTGGATATCAGCATGTCACAAAATCCGTGCTGGTGCACAAACTATTTTGGGATCTCATAGGAACTGATTTGTTTTAACCTCACATACACATACACATACACACACTCAATCCCCGCTGGGCCATTGAGCAGATACGGATATCTCCAGCTTCACATCGGAGAGCCGGTACACAGCTAAAAGGATTTTGGGAGGTCCTGCTCACTGTGATGAAAGAGTTTGGGATTTCACAGATTAATTCTCTCAACAGAACTGAAACCAACCTCTACTCTCTTTCATTATGGCTAAATTGTACTTGAACAATACCACATGCATCCAACTGATTCTGAGATATTAAAGTTATGTACTGGTAACAAATTATTGTAACTTCCATTATAAGTCATTGACTAACATGTAATGCATGGAACTTCAGTACATTCAAATATAAATAATAATCCAGCGAGATTGTTAAGTGTACCTAGTGTACATAGGACAAAAGTTGTTTTAAACGCAAACAGTGGTCACATCAAATACTGATTTGATTTAGTTAACAGAAGTTAATTGATAAATAAAATAATTTTTTGACATTAATTTTGAAAGTATCCTCATTTTACAGCATTTTTACACAAGTGCCGAAAACTTTGCACAGTACTGTAGCTTTGCAGGTAGGTTTCTTCAAGGATCTTGAAGATGTTGCCACAGTTCTTATGGATTTAGTCTGTCTCAGTTTCTTCTGATTCTTCATGTCATCCCAGATAGACTGGATAATGTAATTTCCCAAAAGCATAGTAAGCCTAAGTAGATCGTAGACCCATTGCCACCAATGGTCTCTCCGATCAACTTAGCTTACGATGCTTTTGAGAATTTATTTTTGCCTCTGTGCGGAGCACCAGCTGTTGTCAGACTCCTTGTGCATTAAAAAATCTCACTGGATTATTACAATTAATGGCAAAGGGAATGTTTGAAAATGTAAACTGATATTTCCTACTGACACACTACAGCAAAATACAGAAATAACTGGTTTAAAATCATTTTTTGTTGGTGAAAATACTTTTGCACAATAGTGTGTGTGTGTGTGTGTGTGTGTGCTTTATATATATATATATATATATATATATATATATATATATTTCTCTTTCGCTGT